GGGGCTGGACAGCAGAGTAATCTCGGTATCAGCTTCGCCCATATCCGTCAGATCGCTGGTCGACCGCCTGGCCATGTTCTTGTCAGCCCTTCCATGTCTCGAGCGCTCATCCGAAGCCCTACGATGCCCTCGGCCAGCCTCGTCCAGGCAGCCTTGGCTCTTGTTGAAATGCCCAGCCATCTTCACGCTCCTCGAACGATCGCCAACCCCCTCGGCCGTCTTCTCCTGCAGACTGCAGGGGGAGCTCGGGTTCCCTTCCAGGGAACAGGTCTTGCCGGCGTTGTTTGTAACGTTGCTCTTGTTGCTCTTGTAACCGCCGATCTCCCTGTAGACATTCTTCGGATCCAGCTCCAAGCTGCGCTCCATTTTCGGACTAACCGCGTCGTGCGAGCTCGGCGTCACTATCGTCGGCGACATGGGGCTCTTGAGACTGGCCAAGCCGAAGCATGAGTTCCTGCGCCGGTCGAAGGGCTTCGGGCTCCCCCGGCCATAAACAGCCGAGTTGACCGATCTACTGCGATCGCTCGTCGACGAGGTCGCCGAGGTCACCGAGGTCGCCGACGCCGGGTAGCTCGCGGTTTGCTTGAGATTCTTGCGCGGGTCGCAGAACTGGAAGATCGGCGACTTGCGGCCGGGCGAGTGCAGCAAGTCGCTGTTGGGCGTCTTGGGGCTGCGCGGGCTCGCGCGAGCGTAATAACTCGGACTCCTGGGTCCGCGCTGCTGCTCGAGCACGCCGGCGCGCCCGAACTCGTCGAAGTCGAAGGTCGTATTGGGCGTCTCCGGGTAATACTCCGGCGGGAATTCGAACACCAGCGGAGTGCCCGGCGACTTGACCAGCGACTGGCCGCGAGTCGGGTTCCTCGGTTCGGCGATCGGCATTTGCTGCAGGCGAGGAAGAGCCGGCAGCTGCCGCGGACTCCTCGGGGACTTTAGGTGGATCGATTGTCCGGGACTGCTGGTCGCCATCTCCGACGGCGGACCTCTCTGATGAATTTACCTTCCTACCGGATCGCGTTATCTCTCGTGGTCGGTGTCCCGGCTCGGGTTTATCGAGGGCTGCCCCGCGGCTTTGTCATTGTCGCGTCACAGAAGCGGTCGTCCGGGGCTTCCAGGCTGCCGTAAATCGCCCTGCAACCGGCCACGGTAGCTGCGGCCGTTCTCATTTCAGCGGATCCGCCGGATTGGCTTCGATTGCGCCTCGACGAGGATCTACGAGGTCGCGGTGGGATATTGCGGTACGAGTGCGCTTGACTCTCGGGTGGCTGGTTGCTGCGGCTTCGGACACCGCGGCTCCTCTCACCCGTCAACCGCGAGAACTGGAGGAGTCGCGTCTGCGTGAAATTTCAGTTAAAAGGTATGGTAACGTTACTACAATTAAATGTATCCCCGTGTGTCTCGCACTGATGAAATTCCGCGGTCACTCATGAGCGCGCGCCATCAACACGTTTCTCTGCACGTTAAAAATAAAGGAAGAAAATTCGGCCCGGGAACATTTCCGCGCTCCCACGCGCCTATCTCAAACAGATCTCCCCGGGGAAACATCCGCCTGATATCCCATCCGATCGTTCCACGCTCCCCTAAGATTCAGGCTTCCCCTTATTAAAAAACAACAAGACAGGAAATTTTGTTGCGCGCTCGATCGATGTTTGATTAATTCATTACAGTAATGAGAATACGACGCGATCGTGTTATAACGCGTGACCTACAACCGCCGGGGGTTAAAACGCACCTGTGTCAAGTTCACGATCAAATGCTTGCGAAACGCGTCTATCGATCCGAATAAAATTGAAAAAGCTCGAAGCACTTTGAATTATTGCCTCACCGACGCTGCTACCCGATCCAAAACCTCGAACACACGACCCAGCGTGACAAAGGGGCAAGCTCGTTTCCGAGAAACAATGACGTCCGCTCGAAAAGAAAAAAAGAACATCAAAATTTGCCGGAAGCGGTCGCAGACATTTATAAATATATTTTCCGCTTCAGTCAAATTTTCGGTAATTATTCGGACTCCCTCCCTGCCTCCCATCCGCCCTCATGCATTACCGTTACGCGGAAAATATCGGTGAAAGAAATATCGCTATAAATCACTGAGAGAGAGAGAGAGAGAGAGAGAGAGAGAGAGAGAGCCATTTTCCAAGCGACGCACAGCGATATACAGAGCGAGACGTTTTACACACAGGGCCTACCGATTGTACGCTGCACCGACGGGGAGGTGATGATAAACGACGATGTGACGTGCAGACAGACGTGCAGACGAAATTGCGGCCAAACAGATGCGACGAGACATCCGCAACGAGATTATTGGTCGAAACGTTAGCTTCAGCTAGCCAGCTAGGGATTAACCTGTTGATCGTCGTCGCGAAGAACGTCGTCACGTTGTCTAGCCGCGCTGAGTCGTCGTACGACACCGTCCAGCTCCCTGAGGCAGCTCCGGCTCGCGAAACGCGTGGCCTCGCATCGCGCCGATCGTGCGAGAGCGACCCTTAGCCGGCAGAACGTAACCCTCGTTCGGCCCAGCCGAATTTTTGCGTCATAAAGAGAACGAAGCGCCGATGCTCGATGAACCACCTCGGCGATGGCCGGCACGCTACTGAGGGGTCGCGATGTACAAGCCACCCTCGCCCCCGCTTCCGCCCACCGCACAAGTCACCCCTCCCGTGTCAGCCGGGGCTTAGGTGCTCTCGTTGTGTTCTTCGCGCACGTGTTTCTTCGACAGCCCCAATCTGCCCGTAATTTCGACATAATTTGTAATATTAATAATCTCCGCTCGCTACGGAGATGGAAATTTTGTATTGCAGTGGATCGTGGGAAATGTTATAAAATACGTGTATTTATATAATGACACTCTTCTCAAGTTGAGGTTATGGTCGAAAATTTTGATCATAAGAGACTTTTTGATTATTAATTTGCTCTACAATGACTTTTGTACATTTTGATATCAGAAACTGTTGAGTTGATAACCGCGTCTTGAACAAAACTCGGAAACATTCGTCGGCAATGTCTCTGTAGATTATTTTGCATCTTTCGAGACTTCAAAGAAGGAAGAAATTTTGCAATGCCTACGCACACACAATTAATAAATCACTGGCCTGTGCTTGTCGAAGTGAAAAATTTGATGGAATCAGAGTCTAATAAACCGCACCACCGGTCTTCAAGTTGGTAATCAACTTCAACTCTTTTCCAAGCCTCTGAAAGATCCCTTGTCGATAGCACGGGCTCGATAGCGAGTCAATCTATCGGACAAGATTGCGTCAAGGGAACTCACGGAGATGTTGCGGACTTGCGGTCGAGCTCCGGTCCAACAGCGTCCAACAGGTAGATGTTTAGTATATGCGGCTATATGTTGCCAAACCTAATATTTGCCGCTAATGTTGCTCCAAACCTATTTATCGAGCATGACTCGGCCTTTAATCATCAGTAAGGCACTTTAGCAAGGAAGACCCGGAGAAATCTGATTTGGTTATCTCGTCAGTTTCTAACTCAGATTCATCGATTAACGTCACTCCCCTTGGTAAAAACGCAAGTTTCGTGTCCAAGAATCGTGTCAAGAACTTGGGAATGTAGTAGATCGAGTTTACTAATTTGGCGAATATTAAATATCCGTATAAAGAAAGAGGCAAAACATTACATTACAGTTAAAGACGTCATTATTTGATCATGCTCTTAGACGAGCTGAAAAATAAGGTGAGAGAGAAGTGAATGCCGTGTTCCCAAACGCTTCACTTTGGTGATTTTGCACCAAATACAAGAAAGCAAATTAAATTGTATCTTTGGGATCAGTCAACTGACTGATTTATTTGAGAATTAATTCGATGTTGAAGTTGAAACTCGACATTGACACTCTACGTTTCTATCAATCTATTGCAGAGAGGATCTCCGTAATTTATTTGTCTTAAAAAAGTATACTCGCTCGAGAGAAAAAATTGAAACAATTATTTTATTTCATTCGAAATGTGTATCGACCTCACCTCAAATATCAACCGAGTAAATATAAAGTTAGTGATACCAGAGACCACCAGATAGCAGGCAAATACAATGACAATGACGTGAAAAGTACTCGCTAACTCACTCACGTACTATTCGCACAATAAACTTTCCTTGTTGCAATATGTACGATAAACTGAAAATTACCATTTATTTTATTATTAAATAATTAAATCGATACGTCGGAGAACTGACACTGCGTAACGTCACCACGTCGATTAGCATCACAGCGATATAATATTACATTTGATATGCGTTTACTACTTGAAATTTACTTTGGTACTTCTACTGTGTGAAAAGAAGTTGATATGAACTAGCTCTTTTCCTTGCCAAATTTTTCATTCGACGTTTTCTTCGTCATTTCTTTTGGAGAACTTTTCTCTTTCTGCCGTCTCTTTTGCTCATTTTCCATTCCGACCTTTGTTTCCCTCTCGTGACGGCTTCCCTCATTCTGCTCCCTTCTTTAATTCCCCCTTCTACCACTCATCCTCTCACACTACCTCTTTCTTCTAGCTGGGGCCTCTTTCTCGTTGACAGCTAACTCCCCATCCGCCTTTACCTTCTTTCCCCTCCCTTTCATCCACCGTTATTTCTAACTTAACTTTTTTCCTTCTTACTAAAGATAATTCTGTTCCCCCTTCATCTCCATCCCCTTATCGTACATATAACTCCTCTGTTTCTACTTCTCCACCCTACATTCTCTACTATCTTCTATCTACTCTATATTCTCTTAAAATTCCTTTTCTTTCCTACTATCCTCTCTCATCCACCCACATCACGCTCATTCCTCCTACTACCAAGTCCCGGACATTTAATATACGACATATAATATCGTATATATTCTTTAGATTTATTACGTATTATATAATACATATATATTCTGTATATGTCCTTTTTATAGTCCGTATTGAAATTGCAATGATTTATACTACGCTTTTGTTTTAATAATAAATTAGATGACTCATGAACGACTCTCTTTTATTTGAGTATTTTCTTCTTATCGCCTCTAAGGACGCATTTTTTCTTTCGACGACGCACGATTCATCCTTCAACGACACGTAGACTGCAACAATATTATAATAAAAAGAAATAATAATAATAGTATAATATAATATTATAATAATAATATTGTTATAAAAATAATCAAAAGTATTAGAGCTTATTGGCATTGTCAGTTCTTGCTTCACGATTGAATTTAAGTAACAAAAGCTACAGTTCCCATTCCATCGTTAAAGATATACAACATAAAACACGGCTAAGAAGAAGATGACCATTACCATTAATTGAAACTATCGTATTAAAAATAAAATTTCCAATTAAGAATTTCAACACAAAGTAATAATAAGTAATTAAATTAAAATTCACAAAATTGAAATAGTCGAATACATCGCCAAAAATTTTTTTCTACAAGCTTCGTCAGATTAAAATTTTATCAATTAATCCGTGATAAGGACGATAATAATAATTATATTAATATCAACAATAATAAGCATAGGAATATGAATATGAATAATAAGAAGTATAAAATAATGATAATAAAAAAAATAATATGAATAATAATGAAGAATAATGTTATAAATAATGGTAAGAATGTTCAATAATGATAAAATAATAAGATCAATAATGATAAAAATAATAAGTAGGAGAATAATAAAAAAAATAATAACAATAATAATGTTTAACGTTGTCTTGACTCTTGTTGATAATGTTTCTTCTTGATCGTGTTTCTCGCAAATATCTTCCGAGCTTGGTAAAAATAGTCATATTACAGTCCGCTAGATAGCGAATGCGTGCAGCACAACTTCAATACCTCCACAGCATTTAATAGTACGAGAGATTACCATCTAAACAATACAGTTCGAAATATTCTGTTTTGAGTATATTATACGTAAATATAATTTACAGTCATCAGAATTATCAACATGAAAAATAGAACACAGCTATTATTTAAGCAACGCCTGCTAAAAAAAAAAAAATAATTAGTTCCCCAGTTCTTGATGAATTACAAATTACATAGTTGGAAATTGTTGTCAATTATCGATTTTCTTAACGAAAATCGTCATCTTAAATATAAAACGTATAAAATGTATTAAATATGAAACTGATAATTCGATGATTTATCGCATCAATTGCCGCGACTATCTCAATGTGATTTTTTAATATGATTAGGTCCTCAGTTTGTCGATTTGACGAACTTGCGTAGGCTAGAATGACACGAGATGCATTTACAAACAACATAAATTCATCACTAGTACATTTAACGAATGACTAAAACATTTCACTTGCCAAGTAACGCATATTCTCAACGGTCCGAGGCAGGACGAAAATATATTGCACTCGCGACAGTAATGCGTTCCCAATGGGAATAGACATGAGTGATATAAAACATATCAAACCAGCTAATCTTTTCACCTCTCCTGTGTACACGTAATGTATTTTTACAGATAAGTCAGCCTTTTTGCAAGCTTTTAGATACAGTCATATATTAATGCAATTTTTCGCGATATTTTCGCCGATTATTAATGTTCACGTCACTTATATGATGTTATTCCGTACGTATGTTATATCTATTAAATTGTTTCTTGGAAATACAGTAATATTGATATATCAACGAATCGTACTTATATCTCGTAACAACAGACGTCATGTATGACGTCTGCTACGCTGAACTGTGACTCACGTTTTTAACATTTTAAAGAAAATAATCGAATATGCACCGAATACGTGGAAAAGCGCTCTTATTAAATGACTCAGATATTTCGCCGCCGCTATATACTCGCGCTAAGATCGAACAAGGAACGAAATGTACGTCCATATACAAAGAATCACGCGCTATGCTATATAGACCGAATCAACAGCATTTTGCTTATCAAGATCTCGCAGATAAGCGTCAAGCGGCGGAAAACTCGATATGTTTCACTTCTACTGATTATCTCAATTACATCCAAACTTCTCTCTTCTTAAAAGCAGGAAAAATTAACGCAAACCATACACACTTCTGTCAGATGCGTCAAATGCGACCCCTCCAAATTATTTCTTAACTGATTACCGATCTCTGATGTCGAAATACAATACACACATCACTCCCAAGAAAGAAATAGTGCTCATAATATCAGACGAGTCAGAGCTCGCTTCAATTTTCAGTAAATCTTCGACGGACACTTTCGGCGACGAAGATACGCGAAGAAAGCTGGAACCTTGACGAAGAATCATAAGCAATGACGAAGATCGTTTAATAAACAATTTACTCGTGTTGAATGTGCGACGTAATTAGATTCGACTCGAGAGTTGAGCGAAATTTTTTCACAGGCTCTACACAAACACTCTGGTGCTACTTTACAACATTAGAATTCCGCAACAACATATCTTCGACGCAGGAAGGAAATCCACAAGGAAGAGATCGCGACTATCATCGAACCGTCATAAAGGAAGTGGCGCGTGTCCCGATTACGTTTATGGTGGGGTGCCGCGAAGAGCCCGCCTACGCTTTAACGCCGGGTTGACGTCGATCTGCTAACGCAATCAGTCAGAACACGCGGTGCCGACGCCGGGTAGAGACGTCCCGTTAGTCTCGGCTGCTTCTAACATCTCCTGCCCGGGATCGATCGTACTTCGTCTCGATCCCACTCGATAAGCGACCTCTCGACACGTCGCTGAAGAAAGATGCCGTCGCTGAGGACCTTCCGCATCGAGTTCGATCGGCCTGGTGCTACTTTCGCACCCGGAGAAGTCGTCACTGGCAATGTCATCGTCGACCTGGCCAGGGAGAAGACCATCAGAGGTAAAGTGTATCTCGTGCACGTGTGTGACGCCGTAGAGTCACGCGCCAGTTTCACAATCGGGCGGTATCGAGCGATCGCGTAGCAGCCGCAACGTTGCGTCGGAGCAACGTCGGGCGCCCAGTCGTCGTCGATATGTGCATGTGTGAGTGCGTAACAGTGCGTGACAGTGTGAAAGCAGTGCCGTACCGCGGGTGCGCGTGTAGGTTCTAACCGCGAAGATATTTTGAGTACGAAGGAATTTGAATTCTTGAGTCTCATATGCGCCGTTTCAAGACTGAGAATAAGCAGAATTGTTGCGAGTCAAAGCAAATTTGTTTCGATTATGCGGGAGGAAGAGGAGAGGGGAGTGAATACGAGTAATAAAGTGAGATTAAACGTTCGATATTCTGTGATGTCGCGCAGAAAACAGGCGAAATCTGATTGATTTCCCTGAGCCATTATTAATCAAGATATAAATAGGTCAGTGAGTTAAGTAAGTCTGTTGCATCTCACTGCAAATCACTTTGTAAATTTCCTCAAGTTTCTTGAAAACCTTTGAAGGGAATCATTCTATGCAGTAACGTAACAATACAGATGCGCATTATTAATTAAAGTATTTTATGATTCGCGTCACATTATAAATTATTGATAGCTTCATTATTTATTTTCATATCCAGAAAATGAAATATCAAACGTGAAATTTTCCTTTATTAATAACACGATTGTTCCGGTTGTATCGCACAATGGGGCACTTATCAGCCACTACTGTCAGACGTTCAATATGACATCATCTGGTAACATGCACATATGTGCAAAATGTGACACGGTATCAAATGTGCTCAAACTATCTCTCCCCGTATGTATATATTGTATTTGTGCATTAATATTTCTAACAGAAATAATAGATAGTCTTATTTTGCAAGCGATATTTTAAACAATTTATAAACTAGCAAACTGGAAAACGAATTGTTCCCTAATGCGCGAGCTGAACGCTAATGTAGCACGAAATATCGATTTACACTATCATCGCTTTATCGAACTGTAGTATCATCATCATCAGTTTGAATGATATTAAAGTACAGTAGAGGGCCTACCTGTTAACCTGTCATCGAGGAGTACATAACGATCAATAACATAAATCGCACCTAATAATTTCCCAATCGAAATCATATATTTCGCGTATTCTATGCTCTACGCGCGTAAGGTTTGAAGGATACGTAAACAAGCTAAAAATAAATTTATCAGAAAGCAATTTCCGTTACTGCAAATTAGCACATTACTATAGAAGCTTAGATTAACTCACTATAAGACTCAGCGGCCTCATCGTTTCTCACACAACTCTTTTTATATATCCGTAGTCAGTTATGTAACATTTATTTCTATGAATCTATTGATACGCATTAAGCATTGAACTTCGTATAAAATATATTATGAAGCAGTTTGTCGCTCATGCGCACAAGTTTAATTCCACACCTCGTAAAAATTGGGCATTCTACAAGAATTTATAAGTTGCTTGATATAGCTTCCGGATCGATGTAATATGGTGTCCTTCATGAATTTGTTTCAGGCGTCTCGTGAACATTCGGATTCACTTCTTTAGGAAGGGGAAAGACCTGAAAGAACACTTTGGGGCACCCAAACCCGGAAGCGATATCAAACATTCATCTACACCGCGAAAGCCTGAAACGTTATAAATTCATAGATTCTATCCTCCATTTTATTTTCGTCAAAATCTTTAAAGCAAATGTACACACATGTATTCCGAGGTCATACCTCTTCGAGTCAATTTGTTATTATTTGAAATTTCGTAGATATTTCCAAACCTCTTTAAATTGTCATCATTAGTGTCTTCTTCCAATATTTTATTTCAGATAGAGAGATATATAGAAAGAATGTACAATTAAAGATAATCCAGTTTACATAGCGATGTTAATAACATTCGGATATGTATTGGAAATTAACAATATATATATTGGTAAAGAGCAACGAATTAAAATACCGACGTTTCTCGTGATAGCACTAAAACTGACGGTCAAAGGAGAAGCTAACGTTTCCTGGGAGAGAACGAGGTCAACGAAGAATTCCCGAGGACATCAGCGAAGCCGCACTGATCATTTTCGAGGGAACGAGCAATATTTCAATCTGACTTATTCGCTGCTGGGAGATACAGGTAACATTTGCGCGATCAAATATCACGATTAATTAAGCATAATCACTCGGACAGCTGTTTCGTTTTTAATAAGCCACGTGTCGTTGACTACGAAGTAAATATGAAATATATGTTTTATTTCAGGTGGGGAGTTGCGAATGCCGGCGGGATTTAACAAATATCCTTTTAATTTCTTACTACCGCACAATATACCATGCAGCTTCGAACATGAGCACGGTCATATCAGGTATACGACGAAAGCTGTCATAGATAGACCATGGAGATTCGATCACGAGTGCAAGATTGCATTCACCGTGATCACATCGTACGATTTAAACGCTCACAGTTATCAATGTGTGAGTAAAAGCAGCGCACGAGAATTGGCGCGTCACGTCGATTTTACGCGATCAAACTATCGAAGCGATCGCAATCGACATTATGTGGCTAAATGTATAATCGAATAATGTATTTCCCATCAGATCGGGGTGGATGACGAGATAAACCAAAGTTTCTGCTGTTTCTGCTGCTTTAATCTGGGTTCAATCAAAGTGTGTATCACATTACCGACGACGGGTTTCGTACCGGGACAATCGATAGAAGCAACAGTCAATCTCGAGAATACAAGCAGTGTCGACGTGACGCAAGTCTGTGTTAAAGTAGAACGAGTAAGTTTGTTATGACATTACAAAGATATACCCCACGGCTACACAGGGTGTTCAAAAAAAAAAGGACTCCAATCTTACAGGACGGACGTAAAGAATTTGGAGTTTAAACGTTTCTCGCGATTGCGGTGACACGAGTTATTCGTGTACTTCCACTGATCACGTGCGCACTGAATAAACGAACGAGCATCTTGTTATATTATTACACTAATGTTTACGAAAGATGTTCTGTTAATTATCAGAGCGAGCATTCAAATAGAACACTCGTCGGAAGATGGATTAAACGGGGGAGGGGGGAGGTGGACCGATTGCATGAACTCCCCGATTTAAATCCACTGGATTTCATTTTATGAGGATATATGAAAAACTTAGTTTATCACTAGCGAATTCCAGATGCAATTGACCAGACTCGAAGAAGACCGGAAAGTTTCGAAAGAGTTCGCAATTCTGTAATTTGAACATGTCAAGCGTATGTAGAAATAAAAAGAGGACACGTGGAACACTTATCGTAAAACCTACGTTTACTAGGCACTGTAAGTTACCTTGTTTTTTTTAACACTCTGTAGAACACGACTATATATTCGCCGGTAGTTCAGCCTTCACCGATGTCATAATCACGCGAACGTTTCTTTCCTCTAACTTAAATTTCTATTTGCGCAGTCTCTAGAGTTTCACGCCAAGACGCCGTATCACTCGACCAAGACGGATAAGGCGATCCTAAAGACAGAACAAATCAGGAGACCGTTCGGCCAATTATCCAGCTTTGTGTCGCGATTGCATGTCCCGCCAATACCGCCGTCCCAACTGGAGTACTGCAACATAATAAATCAACACTACGCTGTACGCATCACGGTTCACGTGTCAGGCATGTACGTACACCCTTCAGAACAGCAAGATAAACGCGCCTTGACTCGCACTTGCAACATTTCAGAGTTTTGTCTTCATCGGTACTTGGATATTACGAAGTCTGACTTCACTATCGCTCGCAAACTACTTGCTCGCTTGCAATTTGCAGACGTGTCGCTATGAAATTGTACCGATTGTACTATTAACGCAGATTACGATCGTTTGATCTTCTCCTCAACAGGCATTGCAGCATCAGCAAGACATATCCGATTCTGATCGGGACGATTCCACTGCGCTCGGTAATGCCGTCTTACCAACAAAACGTACCTCAGCCTACAGCTCCTGTGATACAAGACAACGACCCACCACCACCGATGCCGATGCCGATGCCGATGCCGATGCCGATGCCGATATCTCCGGATTACGTACCGCCAAATGTACCTTATCCAGGTCCTTCGATAAGCTTCGCTTCTTCGGATCAACCCAGCACCTCGACTAACCAGTGGGACATGCGTGAGTATAATTTGTTTGTTGCTTATATAAGCGGTACGCTGTCAATTATCTAACTCTGCGTCGCGGACATGTAATGCTAAAGCATACGAACAAATCTGCACATTGATTAAGAGGACTGGAGAGTCAGATTGCTGAAAAATCGTGTTTGTTTTTGATAATATTTTGTGACGAACTGAATAAATGTGCAAGAATGAAAATTGTAGGTATATTTATACAACATATGAAGAGTAGAACAATTTTGTTTATTAACAAATACTCGTATAAATATACGATATATATAGCTGAAATATTCTCCTTTTTTTTTCAAGTTATCGTTTTTGCAGTAATATCTCGGCTCTCGGTGGTCCGATCAGAGTGAATTTTAGCTAGAAATCTTGAGGAGGCTTATCATTATCCGGTGAACCACAAAAAAGAAATCGAACAAAATTAACAAAATGGCAACTATTATTAGGAAAAAATCCAAATTTTTCAGTTCTTTTACAATAAAAAAATTAATATCTCGAAATGAAATATTTTGACGGTTGTCCATGTTTCACCTGAGAGCCACATGAACAAATATTATTGCTTTAAAACTTCAAATCGATACAAAGCTCAGTTTCGGAGAAATCATTGCAAAAGGTTGAACAATAAAATTTCGAGAAAAACGCGTTTAAAATTTAAGTGGACGTATATTTATATGTGTATCTGTTAATAAACAAAATTTTTCTACTCTTCATATGTTATATAAATATATCTAAAATTTTCATTCTTGCACATTTGTTCAGTTCGTCACAAAATATTATCAAAAACAAACACGATTTTTCAGTAATCTGACTCTCCAGCCCTCTTAAGAGATTCGTGGGAAGTTGGAGCCAGTTCAAAGTAATCTTGCGCGTTACGAAATGAAAAAGTCGAAAGATACAATCCGGGTAGGACTTACTGCGAAAATCTGATCTGTAATCGAGAACTCATTTCGCGTTATTTCGCGATTCAGCACCGCCATCGTACGAGGAATGTATGCAGAGAGCGGCCAGCATCAAGGATCAGGACGAGTCCAATTACGTGCACGGCGTCAACGAACCGTTCGCACCGAGATATCCGGTGTTCAATTTTCCAACACCGTGTAAGAACATTATTCTTCTAACTAAACGATGTCGTACTTAACGCTTTTACATTCTCAATATTTCGCTCCGTAGATCCACCTGGGAAATGAACAATGGCGAAGTACGATTGAACGCACTTTTCGTACATCTCCATTACTTCTATGTTCTACTTAATAAATCGTAACGAGGAAACAAGAACACGCCAAACGCTCTGATTGTTGCTACCTCATAATGAGAAAGTTTCTGTGTTAATATCTATTTAATATCTTAAGACATATTTTTATACGTTATATCGTATTCTAGTTTGTATTCCGATAACTATGGTGCACCACATAAAATAATAACACACTCTTATATGACGTTATTCTGTCCGTACGTTATATCTAGCAAACTGTTTCTTTGAAATACAATACAATATATCAACGAATCGTACTTGTATCTCGTAACAAGAGACGTCATGTGTGACGTCTGCTACGTTGAACTGTGACTCACGTTTTTAACATTTTAAAGAAAGTAATCGAATGCGCATCGAATACGTGGAAAAGTGCTCTTATTAAATGACTCAGATGTTTCCCTGCCCTACACACTCGCGCTAAGATCGAACAAGGAACGAAATGTATGTCCATATACAAAGAATCACGCGCTATGCTATATAGACCGAATCAATAGCATTTTGTTTATCAAGATCTCGCAGATAAGCGTCAAGCGGCGGAGAACTCGATATGTTTCACTTTTACTCATTATCTCTGTTATCTCAATCCAAACTTCTCTCTTCTTGAAAGCAGAAAAGATTAACGCAAACCATACACACTTCTGTCAGATGCGTCAAATGCGACTCCTCCAAATTATTTCTTAACTGATTTCCGATCCCTGATGTCGAAATGCGATACACACATTACTCCTAAAAAAAAAAAAAAATGGTGCTACTAATGGTGCTAATATCAGAGTTCGCTTCAACTTTCAGTAACTCTTCGAAAGACACTTTCGTCGACGAAGATACACGAAGAAAGCTGGAACCTTGACGAAGAATCATAGGCAATGACGAAGATCGTTTAATAAACAATTTACTCGCGTTGAATGTGCGACGTATTTAAATTCGACTCGAAAATTGAGCGAAATTTATCCACAGACTCCACACAAACATTCTAGTCCTACTATGCAACATTATAATTCCCCAACAACATATCCCGGATCCAGGAAGGAAATCCACAAGGAAAAAATCGCGACTATCATCGAACCGTCATAAAGGGAGCGCATATCCCGATTACGCTTACAGTAGGGTGCGATTCATCCGCCCATGCTTCAAGGCCGGGTTGGCATCGATCTGTCGCAATCAGTCACAACACGCGGCACCGACACCGGATAAAGACGTCCCGTTAGTCTCGGCTGCTTCCAACATCTTCTGCCCGGGATCGATCGTACTTCGTCACGATCCCGCTCGATAAGCAATCTCTCAACGCGTTGCTGAAGAAAAATGCCAACGCTGAAGACTTTTCGCATCGAGTTCGATCGGCCTGGAGCTACTTACGCACCCGGAGAAGTCGTCACCGGCAATGTCATCGTCCACCTGGCCAGGGAGAAGACCATCAGAGGTAAAGTGTACCTCGCATACGTGCGTGTCGCCGTAGAATCACGCGCCAGTTTCACGATCGAGCGGTATCGAGCGATTACGTAGCTGGCGTCGCGTCGGAGCAACGTCGGGCGCCTTGTTGTCGTCGATATGTGCATGTGTGCGTGTGTAAAATGGGTGACAGTGTGAAAACAATGCTGTACCGCGCGCGAGGGTTTTAATCGCGAAGGTATTTAGAATATAAAGGAATTTGAATTATCAAGTCGCACATACGCCGATTCAACATCAAGTCTGAGAATAAGCAAAATTGTTTCGACCATGGGGAAGAAAGAGGAAATAAGAAAAATAATAAAAATAATAATATTGTGTCGCGCGTAGAAAACAGACCGAATCTGATTGATTGTCCTGAACCACTAGTCAAGATGTAAATAGGTCGGTGAATTAAGTAAGTCACTGTTACATCTCACTGTAACGTTAAAATTATTTTGTGAACTTTGTTAAACTTTCCCCAAGTTTCTTAAAAACCTTTGAAGAGAATAATCATTTTACGCAGTAATGTAATAATATACAGATGTACGTTATTAATCACATATTCACGTATGATTCACGTCACATTATATTAAATTATTGATAGTTTCATTATTTATTTTTATATCCAGAAAATGAAATATCAATCGTGAAATTTCCCTTTATTAATAGCACAATTGTTCCGGTTGTACTGCACAATGAAGCACCTATCAGCCGCTACTGTCAAATATTCAATATGCCATTATTTGGTAACATACACTTAGAACACATACGCAAAACGTGACACAATATCAAATGTGTTCAAACTATCTCTCCCTATATATGTATATATATATATATATATATATACACATATATATATTTGTGTAATTAATATTTCTAACAGAAATATTAGATAGTTTTATTTTGCAAGCGATATTTCAGAATTGTCTGAAAATTTTTTATAAACTAATAAACTGGAGAACGAATTATTTCCTAATGTGTGAGCCAAATGCTAATATAGCACTATCCGATCGCTTTATCGAACTATCATTATTGTTTGAATGATATTAAAACGCAGTAAAACAGGTGGTAGGGCCTACCTGTTATCCTGTAATCTGTTATCGAGGAATATATATCGAGGAATATAATGATCAATAATATAAATCGCATCCAATAATTTCCCAATCGAAATTATACGTTTCGCGTATTCTAAACTCTACACGTGCGCGCGTTTTAAAGGACAGGTAAACAAGCTAAATATAAATTCATCAGAAAGCAATTTCCGTTACTGCGAACTATTACTATGAAAGCTTAGGATATTCCAGTATAAGACTCAGCGGCTTTATGGTTTTCACACATCTTTTTTATATACTCGTAATCAGTTACACAACACCTGTTTGAATGGATCTATTGATATGCATCAAGCATTGAACTTCGTGTAAAGTATATTATGAAGCTGTTTATCGCTCATGCACACAAGTTTAATTCCATACCTTGTAAAAATTGAGCATTCTCCAAGAATTTATAAGTTGCTTGATATAGCTTCCGGGTTGACGTAATATGGTGTGCTGCATGGATTTGTTTCAAATGTTGTTCATGAACATTCGAATTCATTTTAGAAAGGGGAAAGATCTGAAAGAATACTTTGGGGCACTCCAACCCGGAAGCGATATCAAACATTCATTCACACCGCGAAAGTCTAAAATGTTATAAATTCATAGAATCTTTCCTCCATTTTATTTTCGTCGAAATCTTTAAAGCAAATGTACACACATCTATTCCAAGATCATATCTTTTCAAGTCAATCTGTCATTTTTTGAAATTTTGTAGATATTTCCAGACTTCATTAAATTATCATCATTAGTATCTTCCAATATTTTATTTTAAATAGAAAGATATATAAGAAGAATGTATAGTTAAAGATAATCCATTTTATATGGCTATGTTAATAACATTCGAATGCGTACTGGAAATTAACGATACATTAGTAAAGAGTAGGCAACGAATTAAGATATCGATCTTTCTCGTGATAGTACTGAAAGTGATCAAAAGAGAAGCTAACGTTTCCTGGAAGAGAACGAAGTTGGGGAAGGATTCCCCAACTTCGAGGACATCAGCAAAGCCGCACTGACCATTTTCGAGAGAACGAGCAGTATTTCGACCTGACTTATTCGTTGCTGGGAGATACAAGAGGTAACATTTGCGAGGTTAAACATGTACCAGTTATTTATATACTAACGTCACTGTGCGAAGCACGGAATATCACGATTAATTAAACATAATCGCTCAGCTATTTCGTTTTTAATAAGCTACATCATTTTGTAATTGACTACGAAGTAAATATGAAACATGTGTTTTATTCCAGAGGGGGAATTGCAAATGCCGGCAGGATTTAACAAATATCCTTTTAATTTTTCAATATACCACGCACAATATACCATGTAGCTTTGAACATGAAAACGGTCACATCAGGTATACGATGAAAGCTATCATAATGAGACCATGGAAATTCAGTCATGAGTGCAAGATCGCATTTACTGTGGTCACGTCGTACGATTTAAACGCTCACAGTCATCAATGTGTGAGTGAAAGCAGCGCACAAGTATTGGCGCGTTTCCATTACGTTTCCATTACGTCGATTTTACGCGATCAAACTATCGAAGCGACCGCTACCGACATTGTATGGCTAAATGTATAGTCGAATAATGTATTTTTCATCAGATCAGGATGGATGACGAGGCAAATCAAAATTCCTGTTATTTCTGCTGCTTTAATCCGAGTTCGATCAAACTGCGCGTTACATTACCGACGACGGGTTTCGTACCGGGACAATCGATAGAAACAACAGTCAAGCTCGAGAATCGAGCAATGTCGACGTGACGTGCAAGTCTGTGTTAAACTGCAACGGGTAAGTTTGTTGTAACGTCACAAAGATATACCTCACGGCTATACAGGGTGTTCAAAAGAGAGGATTTCAATCTTACAGGACGGACAGTAGTTGTATTAAGTAAAAAGTTTGGAGTTTAAACATTTTCGCGATTTCGCTAACACAAGTTATTCGTGTATTTCCATTGATCCCGTGCGTCGAATAAACAAACGAGTATTTTGCTATATTATTACATCAATGTTTACGAAAAGTGTTCAGTTAATTGCCAAAACGAGCATTTAAATAGAACACTCGTTGGAAGATGGGTTAAACGGGGTAGGACCGATTACGTGGCCTCCTCGATTAAAATCCACTGGATTTCATTTCATGAGGATATATGAAAAACTTAGTTTATCACTAGCGAATTCCAGATGCAATTGACCAAACTCAAAGAAGACCGAAAAGTTTCGAAAGAGTTCGCAATTCTGTAATTTGAACATATCAAGCGTGTATAGAAATAAAAAGAGAACACTTATTAAACAAAGCATACAATAACATGGTAAGATATTCGTTCGTTTATTCACCGCGAGTGATCAATGGAAGCAGACGAGTAATTCGTTTGTTACCAAAATCGAGAAGCCTTTGCATTAGGTTGCTATACATGAAATGTCGGATTTGGTAGTGAAACTTCAAACAACAGTAACTCTGTGGAAACTGATTTTTACTAATCAAAATAGGCACTATTAGATGCAACATATTTCTCCCATCGAGATACCAGTGTATTTATGCTAGTTTCATAGAAGTCCGACGTTCTGGACTGAAAAAATTTTTGAAAGACGTTTTTGACAGCCGCTTCATTGTTGAATGTTTTCCCTGCCAAAAAATGGCCCAAATGCTTGAAAAAGTGGTAGTCGGTTAGCGAGAAGTTTGAAGAATATGGGTAAGGAAGAGTCTCATAGCTGCAAGCTGTGTAATTTTTGGATTGTTGTTCTTGACACGTGTAGTCTCGCGTTGTCATGAAACAGTAAGACTTCATTTCTATTGATCAATCTAGGCCGCTTAATTCATAATTTTTTATTCATTACATCCAGCTGGGTGCAGTATTTTTCTGCATTAATAGTTTCGCCACATTTCAAGAACGAATAGTGTATAATACCAGTTGCACACCACCAAACAGTCACCATTATCTTCTTCGGATGAAGGATTGGTTTCGGCATGTGTCTTGGGACCTCATCGGCATCTAGTCATTGTGCAAATCGGCGACGATTACCGTACAATATCTATTTTTCGTCACATGCCACTACTCTCTTCAAAAACGGAGCGTTTCTGTTCCAGGAGAGCAGAGAAGTGCAAACTTCCAGTCGATTCTTCATATTTTGTTCAATGAACTCATGAAGAATCCACTTATCAAGCTTCTTGACTTTACCAAGTGTTTGCAAGTGACGAGCAACTGTCGAGTAGTGGACGCCTAATTTCTCTCCCTTACAGTTTGGCGGGAGTTAGTGTGAACTCTACTAGTGTTCACAATTTGCCGTTGTCGATGGCTGATACTGAGTATCAGCCATCGACAACGCTACGCGGTTCATTTTCAAAGTTCATATCGCCGGAATCAGAATTGTTGGAACCATCGCTGAAGTTCATTTACTGTGTCATCTCCAAATGCTTTGTTGACGTTCCTGGATGCCTCTGCTGCGTTGTGGTCAAGTTTGAACTCATAAAGAAAAAATATCCGTATTTGGCTTACCTTCATGTTGCGTCTATACGATCACACTACAAGCCAGCACTCAAATGACTCCTTGCTTACGCGCAGGGATATTTAACCTTCACTATCCAAAACACTAGCACCATCTGGCGGTGTTTATAAATATAAAAATTATTTCATGCCGAAATCCGACATTTCATGTGCAATAACCTGATAATTCTGAAAGAGTTGATTTTCCGACCAACGTTTACCAGGCACTGTAAGTCTGGAACCTTTTTTTTTAACACTCTGTAGAACACGGCTATACATTCGCCGGTAGTTCAGCCCTCACCGATGACATAATCACGCGAACGTTTCTTTCCTCTAACTTTAATTTCTATTTGCGCACGAAGTCTCTGCAGTTTCACGCAAAGAAACCCTATGAGTCGATCAAGATGGATAAAGCGGTCATCAAGTCGGAACAACGCGGGGGACCGTTTGGCCAATTATCCAGTTTGTGTCGCGATTAAAAGTCCCGCCAATACCACCGTCCCAACTGGAGTTCTGCAGCATAATAAATCTAAACTACGCTGTACGCATCACGGTTCACGTGTCAGGCATGTACGTACACGCCCTTCAGAACATAACAACGAGATAAACGCGATTTGACTCGCACATGCAACATTTTAGAGTTTTGTCTTCATCGGTACTTGGATATCTGAACTTCACTTCGTCTGACTTCACTATCGCTCGCTTGCAATTTGCAGGCGTGTATTATGAAAATGTACCGATTGTACGCATTGACGCAGATTACGATCATTTGATTTTTTCCTCAACAACAGGCATTGCAACATCACCAAGACTTGTCCGATTCTGATCGGGATGATCCCATTGCGCTCGATAATCACCGTCTGCACCTTATCCACAAAACGTACCTCTCAGCCTACAGCTCCTGTGATGCAAGACAACGATCCATCACCACCGATGCCGATGCCAATGGCAATGCCAATGCCGATGCCAATGCCGATATCTCTGGATTACGCACCGCCAAATGTACCTCATCCAGGTCCTTCGATAGGCTTCGCTTCTTTGAATCAATCCAACACCTCGACTAACCAATTAGACATGCCTAAGTACAGCTTGTTTGTTGCTTAAATAAGCGGTACGCCGTCAGTGACCTAACTCTGCCTTGTGGACGTGTAATGCCAAAGCATATGAATGAATCTGCACATTGGTTAAGAGATTTGTCGAAAGTTGGAGCCAACTCAAAGTATTCTTGCGCGTTACGAAATGAAAAAGTCGAAAGATACAATCCGGGTAGGACTTACTGCGAAAATCTGATCTGTAATCGAGAACTCATTTCGCGTTATTTCGCGATTCAGCACCGCCATCGTACGAGGAATGTATGCAGAGAGCGGCCAGCATCAAGGATCAGGACGAGTCCAATTACGTGCACGGCGTCAACGAGCCGTTCGTACCGAGATATCCGGTGTTCGATTTCCCAACACCGTGTAAGAACATTATCGTTCACTAAACGATGTCCTGGGAAATGAACGAATGGGGAAGTACGATTGAACGCACTTTTCGTACATCTCCATTACTTCTATACTCTACTTAATAAATCGTAACGAGGAAACAAGGACACGCCAAAGGCTCTGGCTGTTGCTACCTCATAATAAGAAAGTTTCTGTACGCTATTTAATATCTTAGGACTGTAGACATATTTTTATATGTATATGTTGTATCGTATTCTAGTTTGTATCTGCAATTATAATTGCAAATTGCGTCTTTACAAGACGCACAAGACATCCTGGGATCATTCTAGAGATATGCTCCTGCAAAACTTTCTAAGATATCTTTGACAAGTTAAGAAATGATTCTGAAATATCTTGTACCATTTGCGTTATGTTTTGTATAGAATGCAATTATGTGCAACATCTCATCGCGTACTCAACGTTTGCTTAAACCAGCACCAACAACGCTGGTGAAAAACACTCGAGAGGAAGCTGAGAGATGCGAGGCCCGTGAAGAGAGAAAGAGAAAGAGGCAGATAGGCTAATAACACCTGTGAAGGAGCAAAATAAAGATGATTCGACGCGAAAATGGTATATTTACACAATTTATTTTATATCTCAACATCATTTTTATCATATCATAATCATCATCGAGTCATTAGATAGCAAAATTAATTAACATCAATAATCAATTTCGAATTCCGAATTTCGACAATATCGACGAAATAGAGGTGAAGAAGGGGGGGACTCGCCCCGATAACTTTCGCAAGAGACAATCCGGATCTGGAGTTTCGCACTCGGCAATCTGAACGAATGCGAAAAACGGAAAATGGAAGTCGGAGGTGGAGCGGGAAGAGAAGGGCTACATGACGAATCGTGAACTTAGCGCGAACGGTCACTCCTATGAGATTTTCTATAGTCTACAATAATTGTACTCCAAATTTACAACATAGCAAATGTACACGGTACAACTATTCACATTCAGCCACCAAATGCCCGGCGAACGTATCATTGTAGGAACTGAACCCATCCATTTCAACGCGTATAACGCTGCCTTAAATACTGAGAATGAACGTCGATTGCTCTATTGCCCGACATTGCTGTCGGATGACTGCGAGAGAGATGGTAAAAACTTACTTTGCTCGAATAGCCGACCCATTTGTCGCGTCCTAAGGAGTCAATGTTCGCAAACTATTCTTATGTCGCAAACTTCGCTTTTAATGTTGCTTGCACACGTGAATGGTCCCATTGATTATCAAAACTTGGCCCTGTTAAGATCGGTATAGTAGCCATTTACTTTGATGCAAAGTCGACTTCCGTGACACACTCACGACTGCTTCTCACGTCGAATAATAGAAGCGTTCTTACGAATGGCGAGTTCTCCTTTTTGGTGGACCATTCTAACAAGTCGTAAGCTGCTACATTAAGACGGTCTCATGTATATTAGAATCATCACAGAGACATCCGAAGCAAAATCGGTAGGAAACGATGCGCTACGATTCACAACATTTTTTTGCGGGATATGACTGACGTTCGAGATGCTTGAATGTGTGTACGACCCTAAATCGGCATTCAGTGTTGTAGGAGCTTACTCGTGCTAATTCGACGTACGAAGTTGGAAACATGATGGAACGAACTCATAAACCGTATCAAGCATAAGGACATGATTAACTTGCAGAAAAAAAAAAAAAAAAAACGCTAAAAATATATATTCGATATATAACTGAAGATACGTAACAAGAAAGTAATTACAAGCAGCAGCAGCAGCAATAGCAAAGTCAGGAATTATGGAGCGTGGACTTAATTTTCGTGATAAGGACTGGAACTTGTACAACGCTTGGAAAGAAAACGACTTCGCAGAAAATTTTCCAGCATATATACCAAACGATAAAGTCCGAACGATATTAGCCTGCTTGATTAAAAACGCACGAGTAGGAAATAATCTCTATAAACAAATCGTTCTTATAAGAGTCCTTGACTCGATAATGTTTCCTGACTTCCTTCCTAAATTTTTTTCTTGTTCGAGCGTCCTGGTTCTTCGGGAGGGAAAAGGAACTGTGCGCTCCGACTTTACAAAAATTTGCATCGCTTATATTACAATAACCTTCCCTCGATTTAAGACATTCAATCCTTAATATATTATTATCATAAATAAATTTGGTCTATCGGTAATATTGTGAATACGCCGGTACAAATACTGGCAGTATTTGGTTAAGTAAAAAATCATGATCACTAGAAGAGGTAACTTGTACGGGATCGATTGCGGTATTACAAGAACAATTCCTTCTGTTTCTCGTATCTTTCCTTTTCCGTGGTGTTGTACGGAAAAATCATCGCAATTGGCGCGCTTCGTGAAGTTGACGAAAGAGAACCGATGTGTGTTCAACGTGTGATACGCACGTTACTACTTCCAGTAAACTTGATTTGACGTCCTCTGAATGATTTACCGGGGGTTTTGCAAATCTATCCACGACAGAAGCGAAACTCTCCGATTGGACTTGATACTCGGCCCGCGCGTACTTTCTTCTTCAACTAACATTTACACATAGCCTACTACAGGAGATAATTAATGCCCTGTAAGACTAATGATTTAATCCCCCCGGATCTTGTCGCCCCGGATGATCGGATGGAGAAACAATCGATTTCAAGCAGCACGTGTAGGTATCCATTAAAGAAATATGAGAGACTCTCGTATTCATATTTCATATTCATAGCGAAATTTAATCCAAGTTCACGTGAATTTCATGTTAATTGTCAATATGCAACAAAAGTAAATAAACGAGACAACGCTACTGCGTGAATAGATCTACCAATGGAACCGATAGGAGAGTGTATTGTGAGTCCGGTAGATCGGCTTGAAGAAACGGCCGTTGTAACAGATGCCTTCAACGTTTCCAACTTGATCCACCAAAACTGCCCCGGTCAGCATGTATTGTAAACTATCGCGACCCACTTATTCGCGCTTCGTTTTAAAAAAATAATCAATGTTGTTATCGTTTACAGCCACAATGTGGCGTAATGGGTTCAAGACAAACATCAACATCTCATCTCTACTTCGTATGCGTACATACATCGGTAAAACCGATAACATTAACTGAGATTAAGAAAAAGGCATTATTTTACATTGTCATCATGTGTTGATCCAAGTCATGAACCAGAGGACACTGAGTCGTGCATACGCAGTGTTTTCTTTTTCTTTACATATATCTATATTGTATGTGTGTGTATGTGTGTGCGCGTTGTATACGTGTCGTGTATGTATATGTCTCATGTGGTATGTGTTTTATGCAATCACTTTACATTATTACACTGTTGTTTCAGTCCACACGCTTTTCAAAGACCTGCAAAGGAAAATTTGGATTTTTGCCCCGTGCATTTTCTACGCCGCAATGAACAAACCATTTCTATCTCTATTTCATGCAACAAAAGATGCTTCTATGGGAATCTCACATATTGCAAGATTCACCAATTCTTATTTCATACATTCAGTATGAAATGTGATAATGACGCACGTAAAACAAGCCTGTATATTTTATTTCTCACAAATAAAAGTAAATCCACGCAATCAATAAAACGACCAATGAATCTTCATGCAGCATATATAAACGTGTGTCACTCCGAAATAATAGCGCTATTAAATGAAGTATACAATCCTCAAATCATCGCTTATTTCTATAAAGTATGTAATCTGTGCTTGCAATTAAAAGATCTAATTACCCAATATTCAGAAACATAAGGAGACTAAACAGGATAGAATGGTGCAAAACAGAAATAGAGAAATTATGCAATAAAGATACCAATCGATCTATCTAGAGTTAAACAAATAAAAGATTCAAAGCATACCGTAATTACGTGCGAATGTTTAACCTTCTCTCTTAATGGCACCCGGAGCTTCAGCTAATCCTTTAACTTTAAGCCGGTCTGCCGTTTTGAGAAACGCTGGAAGTTGATCTTGCGAAACATTTACCTCACCTGCATACATAAATTCTAGAATAGCTTGCAGATGACTATACGCAACATCCTTTAGTATTATAATTGGATGTTTGGACGGATTTTCCTGTAACATATTAAACAATGAATGAATTTATTCATAGCATTTGTCAATTACTTGTACGAAATGATAGTATACCTCTAATAAGGATTTGAAGTAAGGACTACAAGCAGACAAGACCATTTTATGTGCTTTACAAGTTTGACCGTCACAAGCCAATGTCACATCCGTGAAGCTTTTCTCATCTCGCAAGTGTTTGAACGATGATACCATATTCGACTGGAAGTCGTTCCATTTGAGAAAAAACTGCTGCTGCTCTCCCGCCATTGTGAATGCTGAAGTTGCCCTATAACTTCTGCGTAACTGTGCAGTCTGCGAAACAATGTCATATTAAAATATTAATGATGAGAACATTATAATGATAATAGAAGACTGTCTAGTCCGCTCTCCAAGCATGTTCTCATATGTGTACACACAAAAAAAATATAGGATATTTAAAATAGGTAAAAGTAAATTCAGATGTCTGAAATACAGGAAAAGTAAAATAAGTGCACACGCAAGTCAGCTCTCTCTCTCTCTCTCTCTCTCTCTCTCTCTCTCTCTCTCTCTCTCTTTCTCTCTCTCTCTCTCTCTCTCTCTCTCTCTCTCTCTCTCTCTCTCTCTCTCTCTCTCTCTCTCTCTCTCTCTCTCTCTCTGACTCGGAAATAGTGACTCAGGAACGCGGTCCGTTACGAATCACTACGAGTGAATAAGTAACAACGACGAAAAAAAAACGCGAAGGAACAAACTTGCCGACGTGACTGCGGGACAAGAAGAAACGAGCGAATGCGAGATTCCGCGCGCCAGATCCTTTGTAGGTTAAGCCAAGAGATGATGTTTCGGCAGGCGAACGAGCGGGACGCGGCGACACGAATCGGCCGAGTCTCGGTGCGAAGCGGACCGTATCATCTCAGGGCAGAGGAATCGCGCGACGAGAGCCGTATGCCGTAATGGATGTGTGCTTCCGCGATGATCACTCGCGCTTCATCACAACAATACGCGTGCGTCCGTCGGGCCGTTCCATCAAAGCCGCACACGGGCCCAACACAACACACGGCCCACAACAGACAGGCGGGATCGAAGGCTCGACTACGGCAAATTCGCGCAGCAAGCACACACACGCGTTCCTTACTTCGTGTCGTCGACGGACAGCTGAATCCTGAACGAGGTGACGACGTGGTTGGCAGCAGTTCCTCGCTGAGAACAGAGAAACGCGAAAAACACGCAGCGCCGAAAACTTTTTACGCGATCGCTATGAATTTTTTGTTGTCGCTAATATCACGGCGAGGAAATTCGGCTGGACTCGAGTCTTTCCGGCGACGGTCGGTTCACGTACGTCGTACCGACTGAAGTCGCTCGCGAGTGTGCCACCCGATGGCGCGACCAGCGCGATCACGCTAAATCGAGGAAGTGCTCGCGCGAGTGGACTTGAAAACATAAGTCGCGATGAGTTCATTAGCAGAGAAAGTGTACTCCAAAGATAATTCACTTTATATTTGAAGAAGTCGGAGAAGTATCTTAAATACACGCACACACACACTCCTCCCCCCCCCACCATCATTTCACGGTTGTGCGGTGTCGCGCATAGAGAATCAGAGTTTCAATCTTTTGCGACGCAACTCTTCGTCACATTGAGAGAGAGAGAGAGAGAGAGGGGGGGGGGAAAGAGAGAAAGAGACAAACATCGTGCGCACATCTCAACTGTCTCTGATTTAAAAGAAAGGAGGACCGATCGAACACACGAAGAACGAAATTGACCAGATCGAAGAAAGAGTGGACGAAAGATAACGCGTCATTTGCAGATCTTTTATTCCCGTTTCGTAATCCGCTATTACGTAACGCGCATGGTAGTATGTACACAAGATGAACTCGCGCATAATCACGATCCGCGCGAGGATTTCAACGCGATCGCGAAAGTCGTAGCTTCTATATTTTTGTCTTTTCTTTGCCCTTTTGCGCCTTAATAGCGACAAGAGCGTCGCAACGCAAAACGATACACACAGGAACTCGTCGTTCAGTGCGCACGATTAATGTGCGTCAGCGTGCGTTGGCTCGTAGATGAACGCACGCGAAGGCACTGTGCGCATGATATTGAGATAAAAATCCTAGTTGATAAACAATCAAAACATGACGCAACGATGATTCGCCTATTCGCGCGGGCGAGCGCTCGCTACGCGCTTGATCGCGATATAGCATTTCGCGCGGAAGTCGCTGGTTGTCGAGCTGGATCTATTGATCTATTGATCCAGCAATAACGCCGGAAAAGCAACGATGGAAAAAACTCCGAGAAATCCCGAGAAGAAAGAAAGGCGGGAAATACGACGCGAGGATAAACGTTCTCACGGTGGAGATCTCGACAAATCGATCAAAGTCAAGAGACGCCGCCGATAAGGAAATAAAGTGCGTTCGAGAAGAACGACAATCACATCTGCACGTCGCGAGATCTCGGACAATGTCGGGCAAAGAATCACAGGTATAACGGCATAAGATCCCACTCGATCGGTAACCGTCAATTGCGCAATATCGTAACGTACAGACGACGGCACGTTCCAGTGAATTACGATGGAATGTCGTTGACCGCCTCGAAAAGGGAAAACGGAAATGAGTATATAGATCAGTATTTTGAACCTTCTCCCATCGATAAAAATCGTCGTAAAAGCGGCGTCGGGAGCCTTCTGATTGGCTTCTGATACACGATACTTTCGGTTCCACTTTTATCGATAAGAGAGAGAGTTCGGAATACCGATATCACAGTGTCGTGTCAATCGACGTTGCACGAGCGATACACACGATGCCTCCACGTTGCAACGCATTGTTCGGAGCGTGTAAAACATCGCGCGACGCATCCGACAACAAAAATCATGTCGAAGCAACGCGATTGAATACAATCGATGATGTTGTACGTCGAGGAGATTCAGCTTCCAGTTGAACACGAGCGCCGCCGAATCCGCTACGTGAGAGTCGCTCGCGCGGCGCTCGCCTGCGAATGGTCGGCCTGCGAACCGCAGAAGCTAATTGTGCGAGCGGGAAATCCGTACAACGATCGAGTGGAAGGAAGGCTACCTTTCGTCGTGCGTGCACGGCGTGTGTCGCGAGTGCCACCGCCGGAGAATCAAGCGCCGGAAAAGTTTTTCCGCCGCCGCCGCCGCCGCCGCCGCCGCCGCGGACGAAGCCGCGCGGACGGGGAACGCGGCGGTATGCCACGAAACGCGAGGATTGCTGACGAGGAGAGAGAGAGAGAGAGAGGCCGAGAAAAAAAAGAGAGAGAAGGAGAACGAAAGAGAAAAGAAACGACATTCGTGAGATTACAGGCACGAGGCGCGCGGGACGGAGGAAAAGACAGCCGAAAAGACGGTCTCCAGGGACCGAGGAGGGAAATATGGAAAAAGAATGGAAATCGGTGGGGAATGACGGAGAGAAAGAGAGAGAGAGGAAGAGGGGGGGGCTTGCACAGCGGCGAGCGGAAAAAACGACGCGTGCAAGAGCGAGCGAGCGAGAGAGGGAGAGCGAATGATAAAGGGGTCCCGGGTGGCTGGGCGCGGGGCGAGGGGAAAGTAACTAGCGAGCGAGCGAGCGCCGCGAGACGTGGAGAGAGCACCGTGTGGACGTACCGCGGTCGGTCCCTCCGAGAGAGGACCATTCGCTAGAGAGGCGAGTGCGGAGTAAACGGAGGGAAGCGCGAGCGTCGCGGGCGCAAGCGCAATGAGACACGGAGTGCTCTCGGCGCGCGCCACATTGAAAGCTTGCGACATGGTGCGGAGGTGCTCAGTCGCGCGCCAACTCTCACGAGGGTGGTATCGTCGCATCGGGTTTTCGCTCGTTCGTCCTCTCGCAGTAGTCTCCCCGTGTGTTGTACCCTGGTGCGAGAGAACCGAGGCATAGAGCCGATTGTGCACACGTAGGCGTCAGTAAACCGCGTTGGCGCGCGGAGCGAACACGCGAGCGAGCCGGGACGGACGACGTGCGACGTGCTCGCCCGCTCGAGTTCTTAAACGAGACTGCGTCGACGACGACGACGACGACGACGACGACAACGACGACGACTACGACGACGACGACGACGACGACGACGGCGACGAACGAAACGTGTGGCCGTCGTCCTCGAGGTGTCGGAAATATATAGGATCATCAAGTAAGTACTTGGAACAGTGTCAGCAGTCCCGACGCGTGATTTCGGGGAAACGTCCGTTTGTTGCCGGCGACAGTGGCGAACGGTGACGGTGTGACGACACACGGCGGATGATTCTCTCACCGTCGAAGTACCTACCACCCTCTCCTCGTCTTCTGTCGGCTTGTCTCGCGAAGACGTAGTTACGCGCCGCCGCGCCACGACGGCCGCAGGAGAGGGAGACAGACTACGCACGGATGAACGAGTAGAAGCTGCTTAGGCGGACGTCTCTCTCTCTCGGCGCGCGGATCGTGCTCTACGCGATTCGCACTTACGCACGCGCGCACGCGCGTGCATACATCACACACACACACACACACACACGCATACGTACATACATATATATATATATATATATATATATATAACAACACAGGTGATATTCGCGCGGTGTGAAGAAAAGTCGCGGTAACAAGACTCGCGCGGGAACTCTCCCTTTGTGATGTGCTAGTGAAATGATGGACTCACCAGTCATGTACGACACATCGGCTCATCAGGCCCAGGCCCAGGGTGCGGGCGATCTGAAGAAGTCCCAGGTGCTCAACAACAACACCAGCAACCAAAACAACAACACCACGAACAACAACTCGACGCTGCAGGTGAATCACAACCACAACCAGCAGCAGAACAGCGCGGTGGTGAGCAAGGTCTCCGCCAGCAAGGCGAGCTTGCACCAGCAATACGCCGAGCACTGCGCCGCATCCGGCGAGCTCACTGACCTCAATACCCCGGAGATCTCGCTGGATCTGCAGCACCTGATCGACGACAACCACTTCAACGACGGGCTGTTGGACATGCTCGGCGCCAATAACAGCGCCGTCAAACATGTCAGAACTTATCCCCGCGCGACTCCTCTTGCCTACATGCCGCAGCCTGTGCACAGCGGTGCGAGCTACCATCAAAGCAACAACAGCTGCAGCGATAGCAACAGCTCGAGCTCAGAATCGCCCAGCATCAAGGAAGAGCCGCTGGACCCGGCGGATTACCGGCGCCATTGCCCTCAATATCCACCGGCCGGTTACAGTCCAGTGACGAACAGCCCCTTCGCGAATGGTGCTCCGACCTTCACCACCTTGACGCCGTCCACGGTGCCCGGCGGCCATCCTGGCGCGCCGAACGTTCACCAGCCGCCGCGAGGCGGCCCCATGAAGCCGGTGATGGCTCATCAGCATCACGCGGCGGCCAACGTTGCCAGGAAGCAGACCAAGGCTATCGACAAGGCGAGCGACGAATACAGAAGGCGACGGGAGAGGAACAACATCGCCGTGAGGAAGAGTCGCGAGAAGGCGAAGGTACGGTCACGCGAGACCGAGGAGAAGGTGAAGATGTTGGTGAAGGACAACGAGATGCTGAAGAAGAGAATCGAGCTGCTCACCGAGGAGCTCAACGTGCTCAGGTCGCTCTTCAGCAGTGTCGGCGTGGTGCCCGAGCAGTTGCACCGCGAGATCTCCAGGCACCTCGACCAGTTCCAGCAACACGCGGTTGGACCCATGTAGCGCACAACCATCAGCGTCGCGGCGCAGTCGTCATGCAATGTTCGCAGTCGCGTACCGACGACGCAGTCGTCGTCCGACATCATCGTGGACTCGCGTCCCTGGGCTATCAAGCCGATCCGATTGTGAGGCGAAGTCGCTTCTTCCGTTTCCTCCCGCGCCTCTTCTTCGGCTTCACCGCGTGCGCCTCTGTAGAAGTGGTCTCCCGTGCTCTCTGACTTCTCCTCCTCTCGCTCACTCGCTCACTCGCTCATCCTCACACCCGCTCTCGATCTCTCTTCTTCTTCCTTCGTCTTTCGCGTCTTCGATCTTTATCTCTCGCTCGCGACTCCGGAGCGCGCGATGGAAGCGCACGTGCGTGCCGACAGTTGTCGTTAACGCGACATAGAGTCGCGAAGGCGCGAGCATCTGAGAGAGAAAGAAAGAGAGAGAGAGAGAGAGAGAGAGAGAGTGAAGAGGGGAGTCGGCGAGCCGCGTAGGAGGATGATCGGGAAGCGACCTACTCGAGGCGAGCTTGGCTGAGGAACGCGGTCAACTTGATGCGCGTGCTGGTAAAAAAGAAAAGATACCTCTATCCGCGGGATATGAGCCCTTTGCTCGAAGAAAGGGAGAAAGTGCCGTCCGGACACTGAAAGGGGAGAAGAGAGGCGCGAGGAGAGACGAAAACCGGAGGCGGTAAACCGTGAGAAATCGCTCGCGCCGATCCAATCAAATTGCGATCTTGCGAAGCAATATTATCGTTGTCAGGAAACGTCCCGTGAATCGGAGAGTGAGAGAAGGAGAGGGAGAAGGAGCGATAATAAGGATGGTTGGGATCTTTATGGCTCTTCGCTCCCTCCCGCATATCACCTTCGCTACTCGGGGCCCGAAGCGACTTGTTTCTTGTCGGTATCTCGCTCGGTGTCGTTCTTCCCTCGACGCACTTTCGCACGATAAGATCGTAAGATTTTGCGCAGCGCCGGTCCACCGAAGGACCTCTCTTCCCGAGGGACCAGCGGAGGATGTCCTCCACGGTGTGGGCGCTCGCAAAATCGCAACACTGAGGCGAGCCGACGGATCCTCCAACTAATCACGGCCTCTCGATGATTCACGCGAGCATTCTCACCTTAGTTGTACACTACGTTTCGCATGTACCACAAGACGGCACCTAGTGACGCCTCCAACGCGAAAGACACGTACACGTCGTTGTACCTAGATTCGGTTCTTAGTTAACGATAAATTAATGAACTTAGGTTATCGCCCTCCTTTCAATTACCAAGTACCTAAAAAGGAAAAAAAAGCAACAACCACGTCGAGACTGCATCGGCAACGACGATCCGTTCCGTCCGTCCCGACGTGGTTTTAACAGTCGACACCGACCCTCCCTCACCCACCCCCCTCTCCACTTCTCGATACGTACTCGCTTCCGTATTCGCACTTTCGGCGAGACGCGGCTGGACAACAACAACAACAACCGAGCATCCCCCACAACGCCCTTGTATTATATACTTTTAGCTTTTATTAATTTTATTATTATTATATTCGAGATTTATGTACATAAAAAGCTAATATATTTTGTTAGAAAAGTGGAGAGCGTGTGCGTGAGCGCGCGTCTGCGTGCGCAAGAGCGTATGGCACGTATGTAACGATTGTGTGTACGCGTGCATGTGTGTGTGTGTGTGTGTGTGTGTTGCGAATGCATGGTACAGCGCGCGTCGTACGAATGCGTCGTGAGACGAATTGTTGTAATTGTATATTTTATCAGCGACGACGACGAGTCCGAGAGAGAAGGAGAGACAGCCGCTTGGCTCAAGGAGCGAGATGAATCTTACCCGAGAGAGCATTCTTGAGTACTACGCGAGCTTGCGGCTGCATCAAGCGGAACTTCACCTTCGCGTTTACCTGTATAAAATCCGATACCAGCGACAGAGCAGTAGCGCAACCGGTGTGTGTTCGTCACGGTAACACACAACAACGTACGCGTGCATGCGCGCGATTCGCGTGGATTTAATTCGGGCGGAGGCGCGCGGGCGCGCGCGACTGTGCGTGTGCCGAGTTACGTTACGGCGAGTGTGAATGTGTGACGGTTACGCACGCGTGCCTTTGGTGTATGACTGACGTATGTTAGGTACGAGATTACCTGTCACGGTTGTCTTCTTGTCTATGCACAAATATATTTTGATATGAAACGTGCGCAACGTCTGCCCTGTGTCTTTCTTTCTTTCCTCGTCCCCGCCGCACTTCAGCCCGCATCCCGACCCCCTCCCATCCCTTTAGAATCCATCTCGTTCCGCCGCTCGTAAATTTCATCTCAACCTACCGATATGTAAAGCTACTCCCCGACGAAGACGCCGCTCTCTTCTGCATCTGAAGAGTTACGGCAGTCGGAGGAATGACGCGCTGGAGTGAATTTGAGTGCTACGACGCGCCGCGCGTTTTCTCGTTCACTCGCGACGTAAAACGTTAAACGTGGGTGTTTCATTCATCACTCATCATTATTTCTATATAAGACATTATGTTGTAGGTTAAACAATTCTCCGCAGGGCAAACCAGAGCGGTTTAATGGATAGCAATTTTTCGGCCAAATTTTTCGCTGAGCGTTGTCCTCTCAAAGCTCCACGCCGCGCCTCGAGATGCAGAAAAATTCCAATCATAAAGCGAGCTCGAGACGCGCGTGTGTGGAAGTCAGCGCGATAAGAGCAACCAATCATCCAGATACATTTCGATACTCGAAAGGGTGAGCTCCAGGCGAAAGTGTCGCGAGATAAAGAGTCGAGGCACGAATCGAGCGCGCGCGTTATCACCTACCAAGTCTGTACAAGTTTAACGACAATCACGTGTGCGGTCAAGGTGGGAGCGGGCTCCGAAGGGAGAATTCTAGGGCTCCACGGAGAGAAAGAGACAAAAAGAGAGAGAGAGAGAGAGAGAGAGAGAGAGCGACGGTAGAGTAACCGCCCATATTAATCCGCCGGAAAAATGTGTCGAGAGCGTAGGTATGGAAAGCGATCGGGGCAACGGCGCGCGAATCCATCGAGTCGCGCGCGGCGAGTGTGAGTCACAAGATAAGTTTGTTGTTAGTCAGATTAAATAGATTAGCACCATTGTGACGAGCGTGACGCTCGGCCCTCGCGGAACAGGATACAGCGTTCCACGTGTACGCGCGTCGCGCAGTCGACGTACACGTGCCCGCAGCTCGCGCGAGCGGGGGTGCGGGAGGAAGCGCGTCGGCCGCGCGGCATAATTGGTGAAACGAGTTTTTCGAGCCGCGATGCAAAAGCGTAGCGACGGTGTATCTCGGCTGCGTCGTCGATCGGGAATTCAACGATAAGATTGCGGAACGGAGTCGTCGGCGCGCGTGTGCGCGGAGCGATACGGAGTAATCGGGGAAAAACAGGCTGAATGAACGGCGCTGCGAGTTGGAATCGGGCGAAATTGAGAGGAAATGGCTATGCGAGGAGTATCGCGCGCGAGAGATCTCAAGATTAGGAACATTGTGGCACGAGTACTGTTTCCGTTTTAAATGCCCCATTTTAAATGCCCGCCGGATGGCAAGGCGTTTCGGCAATTTCTTCGGTTTCTTTCTTCCGATCGCAATCTTCGTTTTTACCATTGCATCCGAATACGTGCGTTTCATCTTTGGGACGATTGAGCGCGACTAATGCCGTGCGCGAACGGGGATCATACATCGGTGGTATATGCTCGATTTATTTTATTAACACAAATTACTTCCATCGCGCGAAACTGTGCGCACCATCTCGTGCGTCGCCCAAACTTATTCACTCTCGCAAGGATGGGCAAGGGATATTATAGGATATGAAACACAAAAAATAAAAAATTTCAATAAGATCCGGCTGTTCTTTAATTAAAACTGTCTCTCTTTGATCGCTTTGGAAAGAAAGACTTTGCGATTCCTGTCCCGTTTCCTCACGGTAAACGGAACGCACGACGAGTTCGCCTTCCAGTCTCTCTTATTAATCGTACGCGTATGGCAAGCGATTTGAGTTCAATATTCGACTCTACATACAGTCGCTTTACTGTCGCGAGAGAGTTATTCCACAGGCATAGAACTTCTCGGATTTAGCTGTTCCTCGCTCGTACACGGCCTCGCGTGAACTCTGCGGACAATTTATCGTGTTTCTACGTGACACAATGCGCGGCGCCGCGCGTATGCATATGTCGATGTTGCTCCACCACGGCGCACCGCAGAATGCACGCGGACGAGTATACGAGGAATGAAAGCGAAATGCCGGGACGCGGGATACTTCCTCAGAATTGAAATCAACGTCGCTTACGGGCGTACGCGAGCGAATTTTTTGGAACTTCACTCCGTGACCCGCCGACACACGCCTTGACCAGCGAGACCAGCGCAAAGTGCGCATGTAGCAGAGCGAAATTCAATTACTGCCTGCGACTTGAGAGTGTAGAGAGAGCTATTGTTGACGGCATGTTCAACAATCGTTTGTCACGCTAAATTGTTAATTATTTCATACGATTGCATTTTATACGATTATTTGATACGAGATTTGTCTTGTCTACCACGAACAAACATACGATTATCTTTTCTACGGCGCATTAAATAACGCGACGGAAAATGAAAAATCCTTCGACACGCTTTACAATGCCTATAACGCGTATAATGCTTAAGGATTTTTTGGTGGAATTAATTTGAGGCTGACAAACGCGATGTGTTTCACTCAACTTTATGTAATTGATGTGATATGACCCGACTGTAACGGTCACAGAATTAACCCGAGAATACCGAAATCGAATGAAAAACGGTTGTTAGTTTAAATATTTTTCATTCTTCCCTTTTATGATGAGGAAAAGAGTTGAGATATATACACACGCGCAAAAAACGACGGCAAGATGTCCGGACACTCGCTTCACCTCTCCCTGAGGTCAATCGACACGCATGGCGCACGGCCTGTTATTAATTTTCGAAAGCCGAATGGTTATTGTAAAGAAAAAAAGAAAAACAACTTGGTTCGAGGTCTGCTGGAGCGATCTTATCGATCAGGTGAAAGTGACGCCTTGAAATCTAAATTTGGCTCCGATAAATAACCGATGGGGAAATGTAGAATAACGACACGGTTCTTCTCTGAAGTGTCTCGAGACAAAAATCGACTTGCATGAGAAAACTTTTACGTCGAGATATTGAAAAGTTTTGCAAATGTTCCGTTCGAACGTTCGGCGAAAATGCTGAGAACGATTTACGAATTTTCTTTAGCGATGCTGGCAGACGGACAATCGCATAAGGCCGCTGTGTAAGATGTGAGTAATAGCTCTCCGTAATAGCATTCTTTGCAAGTCGCATCGGACGCACACGCGTGAATTTCTTTTCGTCCGATGAGAGAGAGAGAGAGAGAGAGAGAGATGCTGACATATTTCTATCTAGGAAATTCCGAACTTAATTCCGAATTTAATTTCCGCTAAACCATAAGTCGCGGGAATTTTTTAAAACAGGTCCTCTGACATTTTCTCTCGAAAGTTTGATCATTAATGCTCGCACTGCACATTATGTATATGTATTAAATTCAGTATGTGAGATTTTTTAATAAGTGTTCAATTTCCGAAAAAAAATTATACATACATACATATATATTCCACATGACATGAATATTCTGCAATTCTTCGAGTCTGCATTTCTATGAAAAAATGTCCTCTTTTTTAAGGGGAATATTTCAGACGTAGAAGGCGTAAAATGTAACGTGTCGCTTTTCTCGGCCTGTTCGAGGCTCGCGATATTTTGCGCTAATCGCGCTCGCACTTGCGAGCATAGATTTCTCCGTCGTCTCAAAACGAGGGTATCAAATGGTTTAAACAAGCCTTACCTTTCGCTTTTTTGCCGGTGTCCGGCGACATTCCCGCGGCAGCGGCCGCTTTGTCGCCGCGTTAAGTCCCTGACATAATGCGCCAAGTTTTGACGCCGAGATGTCTGCGTACACGTGCCGTCGACAATTCTAGTTTTAGATGCAAGCTGTGCCAACGCTCGTACTCGGGCAGGTCCATTTCTCGAGCGTTCCTCTGCACCGACTGCAGCAACTCCTGGTAGCGCGGAGACGGTCGGTCGGTCGAACATGCGAACATCTCTCGACCTTGCTAGCCGAAGAATCACGCCGTTGTTTCCAACCGAGTTTATTAAACAAGAAATGTCGACATTTTCAAAAACGCTGCCAAAAGAGATTCGCCTCGTGCGCTTTCCCTCGCGCGCATAAAATTCCACTTAATCGAATCTCACTTGCGATTTCGGCGTCCTTTAAACACAATAATTACGCCCATTTAATTCTACGCATTATTACGTAATTTACGCATCGAAACGCGTTGTCTTGAATTGATCTTGATTTGAATCCCGAGCGACTAAGTTTTTATCGTTCTTCTCAGCATTATACTTTGCATCTATCTTACCGAACCGAATAATTTATCCGCCAGCCGTATGAAGCAAGATATGAATCCTATAATAAGTTTTATAATTTCTGATTTCTCGACTCTTGACAAACGGTTCGTTTTACCGACTGAGAGGAGAGTGCATTAATTGTTCGCGCTCGATTTTTACTACGCGAATGTATTATACATATTCCCTTTGTTTGCTAATTTTATCTCTACCTGACACAGATTATCTCTACCTGCCAGATTAGAATTCTAAATTGTATGTGTTGTACAATATTTGGCGTTAAAACGCTTATTATCAGCGTTTTATCGGTATCTTTAATTATGTTTAGTTTCTAATGTAGATTTTGTCCTTCTTCTTACTTGTATATCTCTGCAATTATAGCGCTGTTACGTAATATCATTGTAGTGTCATTAAAATGCCATGTTTTTACGCTCGTTACTGTTCCGTCTGATTCTCAGCATCGAAGATCTATTTTATATATATCTCTCTCTCTCTCTCTCTCTCTCTGTTTATCTCGTTTATTTCATCCTTATCAATTAGCGTGCACATTTATCTCTCACACGACATATGATCAACGTTATAATTGCCTGAATCTATAAATTTCGATGACGTCGGCCGATATGTATTATTTGTGTCGTTACTGCTTAATTAAACTCGTCGCGACACATCACGCGGGGCGATATATGAATTTAAATTATGGAAACTTAATGCAAAACACTCTACAGATATTAACGGTAACTTAAGACCGACAGTTCTGGACGTGCGAGGAGCGTTCGTACATGCGCTCCTTTGTTCTAGCTTC